GGGGGGGGGGGAACACACCAGAAACCTGAAAAACCAGCGTTCATCTCCATGACCACGGCTTGAACTTTCCTTCCAACTTAGCGATAATAGGTCTGTCTTGGAAACTGCTATGTAATTTGATGTATGAGGGTCACTTGGCTGGGGAGAGACAGGGTGGACACAAACCCAGAGAATGCTTCTCCTGCCCGGATGAATCCCTTTTCTCTCTCCCTCTTCCCCCCCCCCCGCCCCATCCTTCTTTTTTTCCTTTTTTTTTTTTTTTTTACCAGCTAAACTCTACTGCTTACCTGCCTGAAAACAACCAGCTAAGGAATGGTCCATACCAATGGGAGAGGGGACCTGTACGTTATAGCCGATCTAGGAGCTCTTTCCACACGCACATTGTTCTCAGAAACTAAAACGTATTCCTCACAGTCCCCGACTCCCCTTGCTGACAAACAACTTCGTCTATTCGGGTCAGAATAGCCCTAATTTCTTTTACCACTTTCCTTATATTTACGCTGCTGGATACTTTCCCCCAAACATCTAACGACGACAAATGCTTAGAGGCGAAAAATGTTACACAACAGATGCACCAAATGATCGCATTCTACGCCTTTCAAGTTATACAAGTTCTTAGAAAACAGTATTCCCTTTGTTAGATCGTAACAAATTTAAGGTAACACACCTACAGCAGGGCGGCTACTGTATTATTGCACTAATCAAGCTCTTTGGATGTTATTAAGCTAATAAGCCGAAAAAGATCTGAGGAACACAGACAATTTCCAGCTCCTCGCCTCTCTTCCCTAATGATAGCTAGGCCTAGTGTGATTTTTCTCAATTCCTTTGCTTCAGAAAGAGAGAATAGAGACACCGCTGCAAGAGCAAAATGAGCAAATAATGAGGTAACAGTGATTTTACAAATGCACCGGTCTTTCATGATCGCGACTTCAAATACTTCGCATCCTCCTGAACGTTTTGAAGTTTGCTCCAGTAAACCATGACACAGATTACTGAGTAGAAAACCAGGCATGCACTATTCCCACAGACAAATTGCACGCCAGGAGCGCAAACAATGGGCAACTTTATTTCGAAGGCAATAAATTATTGAATATTCGGCCGTCAGCCACCAAATAAAGATCGACACCCACTTTTGGCCTCAAAGTAACCAGGTTCTATAAACTTACAGAGAAGCGGGGTGACCTGATGAGCACACGGCCATTACTCTCGGAAACGGTAATAGCAGGAATAATAGCGACAATGATAACGATAATAACAGCGCCCTGGCGAGAGAGGAGGGAGAGATAAAGTTTGCGACCAGCACTGGTGCCTGGAGTGGGAAGAGCTCCCCATTCCTCTCGCAAAGACAAAAGGCCAGTTCTCACAAACACAGCTGGGCCCCCAATTTTTCAGTGTCCGTTTCATCGGCTCTGTCTCCGTTTGTGGAATACACTACTGCCCTTTACCAACATGCCCCCCACCCCCTTCAGGCAGGCAGTAGATGGAAGCTGCCTGGGGAAGGCAGGTCCCCCCCATTTTCCCCACTTCGCAGTTCAGCTGTCCCCTACCCACTCCTTTCCTCCGCTTTCCCCATTGCTAAAGACACGAAATCTCTTCCCTGTAACTCCCAGCCGAGCCCCAAGCTCCGAATCTAGGACGAAAAAACAAACAAAAAAAAACAGGTAGCCCCCCTGAAAGATTTCCTTCAGATAAAGACAAAGTTGAGGGAAGGCAGAGGGGGGTGGAGGGGGAAGAGGAGAGAGAGCTGCCTGAACACGAAAGTGTAAGGGTATCAGTCACTGCCTGGAAGGAAGCCCCAGCTTGTGAACTCTTCTTGAACCGACATTTAAGTCTACGGTCATAAATCACTGGGACATAAACTCCGCCATTCACGACTGATAGCAGCGTATTTGTGGCCTGCTTACCTTAACTTCTGACGACTGAGGCGGAAGCCC